CTAAAACCACCTCATCGCATCCTTGGGATTCCATTCGCTCAATAGCTCGTCGTACAAGTCTTGTTCCTATGAAAATGAAAAGTACTGGCCCTCGTCCGCTAAATGTCCCCAGAGGTAGACACATTCTTTCTCACAAAACATTATCATACCAAAAAAATAAATTGTAGAGGACTCAAAAAAAGTCCTTCTACATTACAAAGCAATTTCCTTGACGTACACTTGTATAGCAGGAGTTGCTATGTCATAACAACAGAATATGAAGCAAACAGTTGTATGAAAACAAGCTTGGAGATTGATGTGGTATAAAAAAACCTTTTACGAGTAGTGCATACTTGTTGCAAGATTCTTTATTCCATTTTTCAGAAAGACTCGATCTTCAAGTAAAAAATTAGTTTTACGTTCGGTTTCTTAAAGTTTTCTCGACTTACGATGAGAATGATAAGTCCTAGTTTCACTAAAGATGTAGAATACAGAAGTACATGTAGGTATGGAAAGAATGAAGTTTGTGCAGCTCATATCAATAAAGAGATCTATACAGCGCAGAAAACTGTTCGCTGGAATACAGAAAGCAGATGTCATAGGGTAGAAAAAATAAGAGCACAGAGAGTCAAACTTGGGAAGACGTCGATAGGAATTTCTAAAATAGTTATTCTAAGACCAAGCATACCTTTAATCCAAATATTTACATAAACGTTTTGAAAGAGAAGATCTCTTTTATCTAAACTCAGCTAAGCCTTCAAAAAATGCATATAAAAAGCAGTAAAGTTAGAGTAAGTACTGTGATCAATGAGTTATGTGGCAGAAAATGGAGCAAGATCAAATTAAAGTACTAACAGTTGCAGGCGCTTAAATTGCTCATATAAAATAACTTAACAATTAACTCTGTAACCGAGATTGGAGAAAAAATATGCAGATTCTACACCAAATTCTAGAGATGTAACACCGTAAATATTAACTTTCAAAACGGTTCAAAAGTAGCTAACGACAGTGTATATACTACGTTTCCCATGCTAAATGCTGAACAGCGATAAATGGAAATTTCTCAAATAACACTTACCAAGTCCTAATCTTCTACAGGATTCGTCAATTGCCAACATTGCCAAATATCCTTTCCTTCGTCCTTCAGCATTTCTGTCCAGTTTGCAAACAACAGCACCAACATACGCTTCCGACATGGTGTCGTATGCCTGAAAAAGCAACATATATCATTCATCAAGTGGCATTGTACCGCAATAAATGATATGGAGAATTGGATAAGATAATCAAGATGAAATGGAAAGAAGGCACAATAAAGAAAGTAAACACATTGACAACAAACTCACCAGTAGGCAAAGCTCTGGCCAGTTATGTATGAAGTATCTGTAGGTGTATATCGAGTAAGGTTCACTGAGGTCTTTGGTTATAAGACGCATGATATCACCAATCTGGGTTTCATCCTGAAAAGAACCTAGCTTAAGATAGGTTGAGAGCAACAAAAAGAGTCGTTCGTATCTACCTTCCTCTAGCCTCAGTAAAAACTATTCTAACTTTCGGTATTCTTGGGAGACTTTGATCCATTCAAACAAGCTAGTTTATTCCTGGTTATAACAAGAAATTTTTAGGCCATTCAAATGACTACAGAGGAAGTAGGTAGCAATCTACCGGCACTTCTTCAATCTCGTAAACTTTTGACAAGAACCGATCAAACTCAAATTAAATCAAAAATCACATGAGAGCTACACATTTAACCACTAATGTT